GACCAGAACCGTGATCTTATTGTAGCGAGTGCCTATGTGAGACCACCACCGCAAGTAACGCAATCCTTCAGGCGGTTAGTAAACTGCCTTCCAGCCTCGTCGCCGCTCCTGCTGTGCGGGGATTTCAACATGCATCACCCACAGTGGGAGCCATTCTTGGAGACTTCTCCAAGCGAGGTTGCTGCAGAATTTTTAGAACTGTGCACGGATGCGGGACTCACCTTGGTTAACACCCCTGGTGAGATCACGTATGCCCGTGGCACAAGAGAACGATCCTGTATCGATCTGACATGGTCAAAGCATTTGACTGTGTCAGATTGGTCAGCTTCCGTGTCGCCGCTTAGTGATCATTATATGCTGACATTCACGCTGCATCAGGCATTTAAGGATACCATACCTTCGGCACCTAAGTTTTTCTACAGTTGGGGGAAGTGCAAGTGGGATTTATTCATCAAGGACTTCGACGCACAACTTCCGGCATACGACTATAAAAAGCAGTCCACCGGCATTAAGGCTTTCACGAGAGCGCTTATAACTTCGTATCGACGACACTGCCCCCGCGGCATGCACAAGGACGGTCCCAGGCTTTGGGACGACACTCTCATGGAAGCAGAGCGGATTGCTACCGACAGCAAGGCCCGCCATCTACAGTCACCGACGCCCGACCGTGAGGCAGAAATGCAACGGACAAGGAGTCAACTCTTCCTCCTACTCCGAGAGCGCTTGCGCAACACGTATCTACGTCGCATCAGCAAGTTAAATCCAGGCGAGCCACTCGCATGGAAATACATTTCCGGACGAAAAAAGGCATCACTGCCATCTCCAACATCAATTTTATTAGGAGGTGGTCAACACACTTATAAAACAGCAAGGAGAGCAGCGAACGCTCTCAATCGCATCTTTCTTCCATTTCACCCCTCTCACAAGGCAGTTAGGATTTCCAAAGGCATCAACAGACAGAGTGCATCTTTGAACATTAATGCTTCTTTTCTTTTTGGGCAGCAGAACAACAACGAGTCTGCCGCTACATTTACTTCAGGTTCTTCACTCTCATCTAGTTCTGAGCCACAGGATAAAAACGAAGCTGCCACCACATCTGGTTTAGTTGCTCATCTTCACTCCCCTCTTGATGCACCTTTTAATCGTACGGAACTGCTTGCTGCGCCACGTAATACGCCGTATGGCAAGGCCCCGGACCGGATGAAGTCTACAGTGAGGCACTGCGACATGTTTCGTCAAAGGGCCTCCGATTCCTTCTTCGTTGCATTAACCACAGTTGGACGACCGGTACGATCCCGGTTGAGTGGAGACGCGCTACCATCGTTCCACTCTTAAAACCCGGTAAGTCGCCGGAACTGCTTGAGTCATATCGACCCATCAGCCTTACCTCCATTGTGAGTAAGGTTGCTGAGAAAATGGTACTGAAGAGATTGCTTTGGGTGTGGACGCCGCACCCCCACCAGTATGCATATCGTAGTGTGCGTACCACGACGATGCAGCTGGCACACCTGACACACGAAGTGGAGCATAATAGAAATCACTATTTCCAAGTGAACCTTCCCAAGAAGAGCGGTATTGGCAATCAACTCCACTACAGACCCCACCGGACCCTGCTAGTGCTGGTTGATTTCAGCAAGGCCTTTGACTCCATAGATCATCAAGTCCTCATTCGCTTGCTGGCTAATATTCCGGGGGTGAATTGTAGAAGGTGGCTTAGAAACTTTCGATGTGGTCGCCACGCGAAGACACGAGTTGGCCACAGACACAGCGATCGGCGTCCCATGCTGCGAGGAGTTCCTCAGGGGTCCGTGCTGGGACCGTATTTGTTCTCCCTTTACGCACACCCACTTCTCAGTCTGCTGAACAGCTTTGCGGGTGTCACAGCAGACATGTATGCGGACGACCTCTCTATTATCGTTAAGGGGCAGTCCCGGGAAGACGCCATTCCCACTGCCAACATGGTTCTTCAAAAGCTGCATGCGTGGAGTCAGGAAAATGGCCTGGCCATCAACCCGTAAAGTGTGAAGCTGCTTGGTTCACACTATCCACGCACACGGAGTCAGATTATGATCGTGAAGGAAAGTGGCCCCTGGTAGTGGCTGGATGTCAAATCCCAGTCATGACCATGGGGGCATCGCGAACTACGAAACTTCTCGGCATGGATCTCGATCCACGACTGACGCTAAATGTGGCGTCCACCAAGCAATGCGCTGCCACTTCGCAACGGATATCGAAGCTGCGTTGCATAGCGCACAAAGAGGCGGGACCATCTCCACATGACCTACGCACGTTCGTCATTGGATACGGTGCTTCCAAATTACGCTATGGCAGCGAGCTCATATGGGCAGTAGTGACGGATTCAGCGAAGAATGAGATGCAGAAGGCGTACGCAACTCTGGCACGCATTGTCAGCGGAGTTCCGAGCACTGTTGACCCGGAATCCGCGCTACTGGAGGCTAATATGCCGCCGCTCCACGTTCTTTGCCTGCGCGCGGCTCTCAATATTTGAGAACACACGCGCATGTCAGATGGACTGGATGCGGAGACCCCCGCCTGAGCCACCACCTCGCGCCGGTTTCCGCATCTCGCCATTATCTCGGGACGAGCTATATGCCTTCGTAGACGCATACACAAAAGACTATGGCATCACCGAGAGCTCACCACGCGAAGAGCGGTTCTTTCGCAGCTCCATTCCTCCCTGGTTTGCGGCCTCCGTTCACCGGGTCACCATCGGTGTGGAACTTCCGATAGACCTCTCAATAACGGACGATGAGGAGCTGATGCGGGAAAAGCGCAGAGTCAGCGAAGAGGCTCTGGCGCTGCACAGCCATCGTTCGTGGATACTTGCGACCGATGGCGGTGTCGACGTTCCCAAGTCAGCAGGGGTTGGAATACTGCTTTCATCCCTCAACTCATCGGAGATAATAGAAAAGGCCAGCATAAACTGCGGTGCACGCCCATGCAGCTACAGGACGGAATCCCGTGCGCTGCTTCTAGCCCTAGAGAAGCTGATGATTCCTCGTATCCGCCACAGGCGTAAAACCCTGCTTGTGGTTACGGACAGTCAGTCTCTTCTAGCGGCTCTAAACAAGGGCCCGCTCAGTCAGACAGACTGGACGGAGGATCGGATCTGGCAGCGTCTCTTAACACTGACGCGTGCTGGCTGGTCCGTGCACCTGCAGTTTTGTTACGGACATTGCGGAGTACATGCTAACGAGCTTGCAGATCAGTATGCGACGCAGACTATGGAAAGTGGACAATACACGGAGCAAGGAATCGCACCTTTGTGGCATACGGATCTGCTGACATGTTTTACTACCCAGCTCACCAACAAGTGGCGTAGTACCATTCGTCAAGACACTCATCGCTACATGCTTTGCGGCACAAGGCCATCAGATCTCAGCGGTAAGGACCTGATCACTCAGGAAGTTCTACACCGTCAGGAACTGGTTCACCTCGCAAGGGCAAGGTGCGGGGAATCTGAGCTCTGGGGCCGACTATGCTGGGCCGTGAGGGATTGCACAAACCAATGCCGATTCTGCAACATCTCACCGGAACAGTCTGCATATATGCGCTCTAACAACGATCCAACTGCACCGGGGACGGACACTGTTCCCCCGTCGGCGAGGGAGGAAGACGTCTCTCCAGTAAGGAGACGGACCCTCACACGCCGTCGGAAGGAGAAATGTCCGCACTGTGATTCCACATTGACGGGATTCTCGGGTCTCGTCAGTCACTGTCGGTCATTTCATCCGGAACATCCTCCACCGCTTCCCGAGCTCAAATGTGATTTCTGTGACATGGTTTTCCCCACACGGAGAAGCACCGCACAGCACAGAAGTCGCTGCGCACACAACCCAGACGCCACACGGCATCGAAACAGCAGTGCCAGGCGGCGATCTCTGCTGCCGCAGGATCAGCCACCTTCCACAAGCACGCCGATTGGCCCGCAGGAGACCTTGCACCATCTGCTTCTAGAATGTCCAGGCACCTTGGCTGTGCGTCAACGGCTGGGCATTGAACAGGACCTTCGCCTCGGAAAGTTCTCTCAATGGCAGTTGCTTCATAGCAGGAAACTTTTGTCGTTGCTCGACCATCTCTTCGGCACTCAGATGGCACTGTATAGCTAGACGCGCTGGTAAGAGTAAAAAAAAAAAAAAAACGGCAATGGAACGAAGAATTCTCAACTGCCTGTGGTAGGAGAAATTCAAGAGAAGAAGGGCACCGGCGTGAAAGCTATCGCTTCAACGGGTGGAGGGGAAAATTCACGATTGTCAGTCAAAAGAGTTGAAGAGATGAGTGATGCGACAAGGAAAGGCAACAGTGAAAGCAGCACCACGGCAACCGCGGCTCTGCGGTCTGATGCTGGCACAGAAGACACTCCAACCACCAATCATCCGAACCAACCCTCCACTGAAGGCGCAACACCACACGAAACGACTTCCGATGGTGAAGCTGCATCAGCCAACAAATACGATACGGTCTCTCAGAGTGCAGGATCCACAACAGCGTCAACCACAAACGCCAAAACAAATGATACGGCGAAGCCTGGCGACATTGACGGCAGCACCGCAGTCTCCCACACCACCTCCCCTCTTTTGCTTCTTCTTTTTGTTGCGTGTGCTGCTGCGGTGGTGGCCGCGTGAGAGTGAGTGTAAGAGAGCCGTGCACCGCCCGCACACACACTCGTCCTTCTCTCTCTGTGTGTGTGTCCCCTTGCATGGACTCTCGCCCTCACCTCACCCACGAAGCACACACATAATGTGCCCATTGTATATATGCATGCACACCCATGCAGGCCCGTTGGTGCTCTCTTTTGCACCACACGCACCGCTGCCGTCCTGCCTGGCTGCATGGGCGGAGCACCGTAACTGTTTTTTATTGTTTTTTGTAATTTTTTTAATTTGCTTTTGCTATGAGCGTTCATCTATTTCTTACTAACTCTTCCCTTCTCTTTTTTTGCTTTTTTGGGGCAATCAATAAGAATTTTTTTTTCTTTTCTACTCTTCCCTCTTTAATTGTTTCTTCTGCACTCTTCCTGTGAGGGGTGCCGTGTGTTTCCCGCCCAACTGCTCCACTCGCACACCCACCGACACGCTCATGACGACGGCCCTGTGCGCCTCGCCTGCTGCACGCATGAGGAGGGGCCGCGACGAACGGCGCGCTGAGGGAGCCGTGACGTGTGGGCGTGCGACGAGGGCCTGTGGGGCGGAGCACACATTTCTTCCCTCTTGTTTTGTTTTGCGGCCAGGGCGAGCAGACACCCGCAGCGCCACACACACAGCCACACCCTGCCGCCGTGTTTTTTGTTTTTTCTTTTTTGTTTTTTGTGGATGGGTGTGTGCTGCCACCGTGCGTGATTGTTGAATTTGGGGTCTTACCGCATGTATCGCTGTCATCCAGCTGTGCTTCTTGCTGTGCTGATTTGCCTCCCCGTGCTTCCCCTCCTTTTCCCGTTTCTCCAGCACACAGAAAACAAGTGTATGCACAGTGCTCTGCATGAATGCTCTTGGCGACGGCGGGACGTTGGCTTGCGTCCCGTGCTGAAATGGCGACGCGGCTGCACGATGCCCGCCATGCGTGACGTTGCCTGCTCTTGGGGTCATTCTCCTCTCTTATTTGTTTTTGCTGTGCTGTTTTCGTGCGTTGCTCGGTGTGTGTGATGACGCGTGACGGACGGTGCCACGATGGTCTCCTCTGACTATGACGGTCGCTGTGTTCTCGGCACACATCCACACACTCTTCCTTGTCTCTCTGTGGGAGTGATTGCAGCGGGCGTGATGGGGACACGACGGCGCCACCCCTCGAGAAGGCCCCACGCTCTGTCGGTTGTGGAGCGGCGAGGCGGTTTGCCTGCAGCTTGACTGGCAGAACCGCACAGTTGTTTTATTGCGGTCACTTCGTCGGCATCACCCGCTGCGGTGGTGTCCGCAAGCGCCGCAGCCCCGATGAGGATGGCCTTGTGGTTGTCTGGTGGCTCAGAACTTCAGGCCCTTCGCCCCTCAGGATTGCCCTTGCTGCTCGACAGGCGCAACACCATTCGTTGCCTTGGCTCCGCAGCGGTTATTTGCGACCTGAATTCGCACCATGAGCTGCGGGACAGTCGCTAGCCATCCACGACGGCAGGAGAGGACCTCGCCGCCACCCCAAGCGGCATGGAGATTGAGCTCTCCGACGACCCGGCGCAGGCAACGTGGATCAGCGGCTGCAGCGTCTCGTTTCCCGACGTGACTGCGCAACGCGTACTGCGTGTCTCCCACTGGACGTCCACCTGTTTACATGGACTCGGACCACCATCTGCCATCCCACACTGCAGGGACGGAGGACGGCATCCCGCGACAGGCAGGCATGCTTCCACGAAGGAAGCATGTCTTCGTTGTCCTGCGTGAAGCTGACTGTGATGCTTCCACCTCGGCGTGTGGAACACCTCTGGCCACTGTGACCACATGGATGGAGATGCACCGAGGCACTGTGCGAGCGGCAGCCGTGGCATTCCCACATGTATCTGTACGGACGGAATGGAGCAGGCCGAGTGTGTTGCAGCGGCAGCCTGCCACGAGCTGAAATGCTCCGCAAACGGGAGGACCGCAATCATGCACTCCGCCGTGGCTTCTCCATGCTGCCAGGGGTCCGTGCGAAACAGCTTGGTGCCCTCTCGATCCCAGGCCTGTGATGCCCCGAGGCATGGCGGCGCCACGTCCCTGCCCTCTGGGATCGGCTGTGCTGCGGTGCTGTTGGGACCGCGTCTGTGCTCTTCCTCCGCCGTAACCTCTTCCCGACATGAGCACCGCCACTCCTTGCCGACCAGTAAGCGGCTGATTGACGTCCTCCTGCCCACTCCTCGGCAGACCGGCACGCGGCCTGCAGATCACAAGCAACCCTCTGTGTTGGTGGTGCTGCTCCTCCTCTCACTGAAGAGGCAGGACCGCCCCGACCTCCTCCGGAACCTCCACCTGGCGTGTCCACGGCACCTCCTCGTAGAACGACGAGCAGCGGATCAACGTCGCCCCGCCCAAGCTGCAGCAGCGTCTTCTCGTCCGTCCACAGTATGAAGGCACACGCCCGACGCACTAACCCCGGCACTCCAATCGTCGCAGAAGGCCTCACATGTGGATTCTGCGACGGCTCCACGGTCTCCCCACAGGTGCCTCACGCGCAGGTCACTACCGAAAATGTCAGGCGTATCAACGAGCAAAAAGCGGACAACGCACCTCTGCAAGCTCCAATGACAGCCGTAGCCCTTCAGCCACTCCTCTGCTGCAATCACCACCAGCCGCTGAGCCCCGACAATCCACGGGAGGCCCTGCTGCACACGCAGTGGGAATGCCCCCGTCCTCGACAACTGAGCATCCGACTATTTGGAAACACACCCTCTCGCACGACAGCACCGTTCAAGACGAAAAACTGGCCACATCGCTACGGACAGCCCGCAGGCCATTAACGGACAGTGGCTGCAAAGTATAACGAAACAAATATTTCCCTTTCCTCAGCATAGAAAAACGTCACCTTCACACTCGCAATTGCCACCAATGAATTCATTGCGCAATACCGCTCTGAGCTGCAATACTTCCCGGTGCCATCCATGTCCCTT